ACAACTGTAAACTCCTATCACAGTGCCTAAATGTGTAGAATATAATCAATGAGCCAAAAGAACGATCATGAATGGAATGAGCTGGAGCAGATGACTTTAAGGAGTAATGACACTGCTACTCTAAGATTCTAGAATTCTAAGTTCTAGCCTTTTAAAGGTGTGTAGCACTGAACCACCTTCCTGGCCACAATGTGTTTAGTGCTTACTGTGTGCAAAGCACTAGATTTCAGGGGAAACTGTCCATAAATACTCAGTAATCTGTCTCATTCACGTGTATAACTGTTTCTCAAGCCACAACCTGTGACAGTCTATGACAGGGAGATACCGAATGAGGTTCAGTGTGACACATACATATAAAGCCTTTAGACTCTGCTCGGGAAATGGGGAGGGAAGAATTGGGGGAAATAACTCCAGAACTGAGACCACCATTCTAGAGCAGGGAAGCTCAGACAGAGCTGAAATCCCAGGCATTTGGGCAGGTCTGGTCTTTGTGTGGGGGCTGCTGGTGGACAAATGGCAATGCCCACACACCCTTTCCAGTAACCTGAAAGGCAAGAAAGGGGAGTCCCTCCTGGACTGGCGACAGGGGATGTAAGCAGGCTGGCCAAACTAGAGCAAAGGACCATGGAGCAGAGGTCAACAAACAGTATTGATCACACACCTTTAGTAGTCAATGTGTTCTGACTCTCCCCCATACCCCAACATATTATCAATGATCTCCATGTACTACTTACTAAGTGTGCCACAATACCTTCAAGAGTATGGGCATTGAAAAGGATGAGCTCCATTTAAACTGAAGCTGTAATATTTTATTCTTCACCTTAGTAGGTCTTTCTGCGCACTCACTTTGGGGACCACTGGTAGAGAACAGGTGAACTTGCTAAGGTAGGGAAGTGTCTCTTCCTGCATAGAACCTTCTAAGGCAAGTCATCCTCAACAAGTCTCCCCTTGCCTTTACTTTTTTCTAGGGTGTGCGTGTGTTTAAGGCAGAGAGAGAGAAACAGACAGCAAACATAGATCTCCCATAGGCTGGCTCATTCCTTAAATGCCAACACAGTAGGGATTGGGATAGGCCAAAGCCGGGGCAACAGGAAGTCCATCCAGGTCTCCCATGTGGGAGTCACAGACCTAAGTACTTCAGGCATCACCTGCTGCCTCCTTTGGTCTACATTAGCAGAAAACTATAATCAGAAGCAGAGTTGGGACTGAAACTCAGGCACTCTGATTGAGGATGTGTTTCAAATACCGTGTTAACTGCTGTACAAAATGCCTGCCCCATCCCTTAGCTTTGTTCAAGAAACCCCGTCATTAAGTCAGGTAACAGGTAGGAACAGTGATGGAAGAACTCAGTCCTCCACACACTCTCTCCAGCTTCCTGCCCCACACCTGGCCTTCCAACTGTGCTTTCCCCAAATGGTTGCCACAGTTACACCTGAAACCAAAGGCTCTCCTACCATGCAGGAGCACAGACCCATATTTTGGCAGTGACCATATCTGACCTGGAAGAGTCTGGCTAGGAAGATCCCGGTTGTGTTCAATTTGGAGAACAGGGAAATACTTTGTTTAGGCTGTCTATTCTGCAGAGAGGGACTGAACCCTACAGAGTTCTCTCACACAGTTTTAGGTGCAATTAAGCACTAAAGTCCTCAGTGTTTTTGTGTGGGGGGATTTGGCTGGCTTTTCAGCTAAAAATGAGACTAGAAAAAAAAATTGCTTCTGAAAGCAGGTGTGCAAATAATGTAGCATGTTCTCCAGGTTTTACAGCTAGCTAACTGTCCTTACTAGACAACATGAGACCTCCCCTGCAGTATTTACATAGGTTTCATTTTATTATCGGCAAGAGAAACCCACACGTGTGGTCAGCCCATAAGAATACCGCCAGAACAAACCAGACTGGTGAAGGCGCTAGTCCAGTCTGCTGCAGCCTCTACACACTGCTGCATCTTGCCACCAGGACCCCTCCCCACCCCAGCACCTGAATGTACACAGCAGCCACAGACCTGCCAAAACCACGTGTGGTTTTCAGTGGGAAGGAACAGCTGGTTTCTGTAGGCACTGGCTTTTAAATGCCAGGCCTGGTGATTTGTGCCTGTCAACAACTTGGTGGTTGGTCCCAGCTCCCTGAGAGATGCTTTATCTGCTCGTGCAGCTCTAGGGAAGGGCAGCCAGCCCATGGCGTCTATCTGTTTAGTCAAGTCCAGCACATGGGAGCGAGGTAGTCACTGACAAGAGACAGTTTAAAACCACACAACCCAGCTTGCACAGGCCTGAGGAACACATTTTTGTATCTCAATAAAAAACTGAGTCTGTAGATTGGTAGTGAGCAAGGAAGAGTCCCATTGGCATTTTATACATCAGGTCGGTTTTGCTGCTTCCTTAGTGGCTTTTTACTGAGCTTTGTCAAGATAGAGCCAGGACAGCCATCTGGGTTTTACTCCAGAGAAAAGTCATGGACAGCCTTCACGCACATGTCAGATGGAAATCGTACGAGAAAGGAGAAGGCAGAGATCATAGAGTTTCTGATCATAGAGTTTCATTTTAGGAATGTTACACTGTGGTGTAGTAGGCTAATCCTCCACCTGTGGTGCTGGCATCCCAGATGGGCACCAGTTCCAGTCCCGGCTGCTCCTCTTCTGATCCAGCTCTCTGCTATGGCCTGGGAAAGCAGTAGAAGATGGCCCAAGCCCTTGGGCCCCTGCACCCATGTGGGTGGGAGACCTGGAAGAAGTTCCTGGCTCCTGGCTTTGGATAGGCTCCGATCCACAGTTGTGGCCATTTGGGGAGTGAAACAGAGGATGGAAGACCTCTCTCTCTGTCTCTCCCTCTCTCTGTCTGTAGCCCAATCACTCAAATAAGTAAATAAAATATTTAAAGAAAGAAAAAAGAGTGTCATGACTGGTTTTTCTACTTCATAAAATATGAATTTTTAAAAAAGAAGATCGTGTTATATTAGCATCAACTTTAACACTGCTACAAAAAGTTATAAAGACAATTGTCACTTTATTTAACTAGACTTTTTGTACATTCATTTAGAGTCAGTTCCACCATTTTGCTTGAAGTGAACGTCCTACTATATTTTCCTGATTATGTAAGTGAGCTGATTATTCAAGTAAGAGGTTGGTAAATATGGGAATTACTACAAAATCAACATTTTTCAGGGGCTACAGCTCAGGTAATTTGTGGAGTAACAAAGGGAATATCAAAAGATTTTTTTTTCTGGTATGCCACCACTTCAAGTTTATTATTCCTAGGCCTGATTTAAATACCATAATTAAAAGAGATTAAGGTACTTAATCTCTTTTACAAATTAATGTGGATCCTTAGTCCAGATCTGAAAGGTATTATAGTTCACGTTAAAATGGACTGGCTACAGACAGTGGAAGGCCAGAAAATACTAAAACAAAAAACTGGTTAAAATAACTACAGCAAAACTTCATTTATTAAAAAAAACCCATTAATTAGGAATGTGTGACCATTAAGAAAGGCTCAAGACTAAAGTGTACCTTTGTGGAAGAGTTTGCTAAATCAACTCCTAGTGGAAAATACATTTCAAAGAGAAGACTGAAATGGCAAAAAGATTACTTACAGTATCCTTAAGTTATTTTAGACCTTTGCAATACGGAGTGATTCCCTAGTTATAAATAATTCATATCCATAACTTTAATCCACCTTGAACCTCTACTAAGTAAATCTTTCTTAACCCACTTATAGGATTTACCCTCATGATGAAGGTAGGCTTCCATCTTTAAAATGAAAATGAAACGGAGTTTAAAATTATAATTGAAAGCCTCTTCCCAAACCAGTCCGCCCCTCCATACCAGTTTCCTTTGAGCCAAGCAGGTTGTTGGACGTCCCAGGTTAACACATGGAATCTGAAGGGAGCCTGGCTGGGTTCGATTTCCCCTTCTACCACTCGGGCATGTTCTTCACCGTTGACGCGCCTCCATTTCCTCTCTGTAGAAAAGATGGATATCTGCGAAGTATTTAGTGCCTTGCCAAATAAAAACAAAACCGCAAAAACAGACCAAGAGTGAGCTCCTGTTGTCCATACCACAGGTCGGATGCACACCTTAGGCTCTGTACTACCCCCAAAGGCACTGTCGAAAGAGCTTGTCAACCACGTGAGGACACACGGGTTCTCCAGCCCTCTTCCTTCGCAGCTCAGGCGTGTGTTTTCACACTGCGGTGCATCACAACCACCTGGACCCTTCAAGCTGTCTTTCCTTCCCGCCTCCCGCACCCACACTCGCCCGCCAGGTACTGTTGGAGAACAATGCATAAGCTTTATCCAAACCACCTTCTCCGTCTCTATGAACCGGTCTCCTGTCTCTCTTCAGCCTGTGCTAGAATGTACCTGTTTCCTGACGTCTTCCCTCATCCACGCCCTCCCTCAACGCCGCACAGCTCTGCTTGGGAACCCCTACTCATTAAATTCCTCAAATCATTAAAGGCTTTCTGCATCGCCTGATCATCATCTGAAAAAAACATTTTTTTTTCCTCTCTCTCTCATTAAAACGTGCAATTGGAGCAGCTCGTTCCCCAGCGATTGGACTTTGGGCTCCAAAGAACAATCCCAGATACAGACACAAGACCAAGAAGATGCGTGAGCTGGCGAGCTCCCGCGACCGGAGGCCAGTCTGGGGGACGCCTGCTTTGGACAGCACACGGGCGAGGGAGCTGGGAGGATGGTGACGCACCTGATGAAGTCAGTGGGACGAGAAGATAAACTAAGGCTAGGTGTAGTGCGCAGAGGCGCGCGCGCACGCACACACCCGCAAAGATGAGATGCGGCGAGGGAGCAGCAGCCCCAGGTATCTGACAATGGCACGGCCCCGATCGGGTCTCACAGCCCCGGGATTCCGCAGCCACCTGGGGAGACACCAGCGGGGGCGCACCGCACCCCCGCCCCTCCCCCGCGGCCGCGGCTCCCCGCCCCCCGCGAACGCGGCTCCCCAGTGTCCTCTAGAACGCCCGCATGGCTGTTGGGTCTCGAACCTCAGCGCCGATCCCGGTCCTCGGCCGCTCGACCCCGCTGGCCAGCCTTTGGCCCCCCACATCAATCATTAACGGGTCGGCTCCGGCTGCGGCGGCCCGAGGAGGGGGGATGGTACGGAACTCGAGACTGGGGACAACTCTTTCCTCCGAGGCGGCCGCGAAACCCTAGCCGGGGAGGCCCCCGCCCTTCTTCGGTGCGCCCGTCCCTCCCCCTTCCCTCCCTCCGGCGCCTCGGCTCGCTCATCCCCGCCTCCTGCCTGGGGGCGGCGGCGGCGGCGGAGGCGACGAAGGCAGCGGCGGCAGCGGCACCCGCACCGCGCGATGCCCAGTCACCGCCGCGCCGCTGCCGCCGCAGCCCGACGCACCGCCGCCGCCTCAGCCGCCTCAGCCTCAGCCGCAGCGCGGGCGGCTGCGCGCCGCTAGCTGGGAGCTTCACGAGGGGGCTTCCGAGCCCCGCGCGCTCCTGCCGGCTGCCGCGCTGCCTGCTGACTGTTTCCTTTTCTCGCTGTAGGAGCGGGTGCTCGGAGGCGCAGGTCTTGTCCTGAACCTGCAGCGACGTCCCGGGCGTGGGCACAAAGGCTCCGACGGCGGCCGGCCGGAGCTGCGGAGCGCGCGGGAGCCGGCACCAGAGGTCGCCTGCGCGCGCCCTAGCCAAGCCCCGGGCACCATGCCGCGGCGCCTGCAGCCCCGGGGCGCGGGCACAAAGGGCCCGCCCGCTGAGGCGGCGGCGGCCTCGGGGGCCGGCCGGCACCCCCACCCCGCCGCCTCTGGGGACCCGCCCGCGTCGGCCAAGCCGCTGCTGCGCTGGGACGAGGTGCCCGACGACTTCGTGGAGTGCTTCATCCTGTCGGGCTACCGGCGTCTGCCGTGCACGGCGCAGGAGTGCCTGGCCTCGGTGCTGAAGCCGACCAACGAGACGCTCAACTTCTGGACGCACTTCATCCCGCTGCTGCTGTTCCTGAGCAAGTTCTGCCGCCTCTTCTTCCTGAGCGGCCGCGACTTGCCCTTCCACCACCCGGGGCTGCTGCCGCTGTGGTGCTACGCGTCGGGCGTGCTGCTGACCTTCGCCATGAGCTGCACGGCGCACGTGTTCAGCTGTCTGTCGCTGCGCCTGCGCGCCGTCTTCTTCTACCTGGACTACGCGTCCATCAGCTACTACGGCTTCGGCAGCACGGTGGCCTACTACTACTACCTGCTGCCGGGCCTGAGCTTGCTGGACGCCAGGGTGATGACCCCGTACGTGCAGCAGCGCCTGGGCTGGCACGTGGACTGCACGGGCCTCATCGCTGCCTACCGCGCGCTGGTGCTGCCCGTGGCCTTCGTGCTGGCCGTGGCCTGCACCGTGGCCTGCTGCAAGAGCCGCACCGACTGGTGCGCCTACCCGTTCGCCCTGCGCACGTTCGTCTTCATCATGCCGCTCAGCATGGCCTGCCCCATTATGCTGGAAAGCTTGCTCTTCGATCTGCGTGGGGAGAACCCGACGCTCTTCGTGCACTTCTACCGCCGCTACTTCTGGCTCGTGGTGGCCGCCTTCTTCAACGTGAGCAAGATCCCCGAGCGCATCCAGCCAGGCCTGTTCGACATCATCGGCCACAGCCACCAGCTGTTCCACATCTTCACCTTCCTCAGCATCTATGACCAGGTGTACTACGTGGAGGAGGGCCTGCGCCAGTTCCTGCAGGAGCCGCCCGCCGCGCCCACCTTCTCGGGCACCGTGGGCTACATGCTGCTGCTGGTGGTCTGCCTGGGGCTGGTCATCAGGCGGTTCCTAAAAAACTCGGAGTTCTGCAGTAAAAAGTGAGCCTTGGCCTCGCCCGAGGCTGTTGGTTTGCTCACCTGTTTGTTGGCAGTTTCTGTTGTTGGTTTGTTTTCAGGTTTTGTTGTGTTTCCTTCTTTGCTGGAGTAGGGTGCTGAGACCCCGGAGGGAAAAGTCCCCTGCTTTACAAGGGGCTCCGGGCCCACTTGGGACTTTGGAAGAATGACAAAAGGGGGTCGGGCTGGAGGGGGTGAGGGGTGAGGCTCTGGTTCTTGTCCCTGTGGGAAAAATTCAGGTCGCGACTGTGGCACGCAGGGATTTTGAGGAGGAAGCTGACAAAATCCCAAGTGAAACCCCCAAACAGCTCGCTTTTCCAATCGTCTCCGGTGTCAGGGCTAATAACGAGGAGCCTTCTGAGGTCAGGAATGCAGTAAAGAGGATCAATAGGTAAATTCCCCGGGTACTTCCATTCCAGCTTATTTTTGTCCGAAGAATGGAGCTTTGTAGGAAACTGGCCCGAAGACACAAACCCAGGGCTTCCCTTGCTAGAAAATGCATGGAATGTGAACACACGTTATTTTGAAATATGTCTCAGATGTTATTTAAATAGTAATATATACAATGATTTTTTTCATAATTTATCCAAGTCTGTGATATGCACTGAATTTTCTTTGTCATAGTTTTGGATTTCGCAGCCTCCTGCGTTCCGTACACTTGAACTGGACATCAGCGCAAGCTGCTTCAGATTCCTCAGTTACTTTTTTCAACAGTGTTTTCTGAAGGCCTGTGAGTGTCATGACACAACTGTGAATTATTCTACCTTAGGGACTCTGGGGAAGCTCTTGGTAAGGAGCTCGAGTGGTTTGTACGAATCCCAGATTCCTGTTTATTTTCATGTGTTCCACAAAACCCATCCTGATTTTCTTGTTTGTTTTAATTTCATTTTTTTTCGCTTTGCTACTTATTTAATTTGCCACTGGAATAAATGTGCCTTTTGAAGCAATGCCCAAATGGCTGGTCCTCAAATAGTTTCTTGCCTGGGGAGAGCAGGAGGAGTTCCCTGCGTGTCAGGGTTCACCGTCCCACCCGGGAGGGAAGCAGGATGGTGTTGGTTTTAAGGTTTGGGCAGGACCGGAAGTAGTTGGGTCATACAGAGCATTTGGCGTTTCTACAAGGAGAAGGAGCCAACTTGCTAATGTGCCTGTGGTTCCTGATGCAGCCATGGGGGAGGATTAGAAGGTGCTGTTTCTAGACTGATGCCATCCAGCCTTGCTTAAAATTAACAATACAATATTCAGGAATAAACGAGGCCATTATATTAGGAAAGGCAGGAGCAGATTACTTGGGTTGTAACTGAACATTTTGAGTTAAATGAGATTACAGTTACCCACTTAAAACACCAAAGTCTCATTGGGATCCAAACTGTGGAGATGATGGGCAGTTATCCCAATTCCTTGAAAAATCAGTGAGCCTGCCCTCGAGGTCCTATTATGGCCGGATTCACAGGTTTCTTCTCAAAGCTGACCTGTGACCACGGTGGCAACTCTAAATTAAACCACTGAGGTAGCTTATTTAAATACTGATTACACTTTGTGGCCCATTATTTTGGTTAAGAGCCAAATAAGTCATTGAATGGGGGGTCTGGACTTTGTGGAATAATTGAGATCAAGCACATAAGGTAGATGGACAATTACCTCAGCGCTGATAGGCTGGCACTCCTGAAGACATCGCTGTTTTTGTTTATGCTTTTTATCACGACTATGTAAACAGAGAAATTTTTGCACAACTCCCTGGAGGAACCCGGACCCTTGTATATGTGTATCTTGCGTGTTAATTTGCACATGGAAGTTGAGTGTATAGATGTCTGTATTTTATTTTGAACCTCTCCATGGGATCGTAAATACTCTAGACAGTTGCTGGTGAATGTCAGCGTCTCATCCTTTGCAGACTGCAGGGAAAATCCCAGTAGGTTACCCAGACTGATAATCTGCGCTGACCACAGATGTTAGTTCTTAGCTGTAACTTAATGCAATACGTGCATTCAAGGACAACTGTGGGAATCAGGATATTGCCACATGCGGATTTATTTGCATGCCACTGCTGTCTCTTTAGAGCCTCAAAGACTGTTGGTTCCAAAGCGAGAGGAACAGGTTGCAGAGTGTGTTGTAGCTTCTTTGTAAAATGAGACCTCCCTTTCCGAAGGAGCTTTCAAGAGGAAGACTTTTAAAAAGCATGACTTGTTGGAGAATGCAAACCACACGCTGAATTTGTCATTGTGAATTTTTGCTAGGAGATCCACAAACAGAATTCTCCTCTTGCCCCGTGCCTTTGTCCTTAAGCAGAGGCCACTTGAGGATAAAATTATACCCGTATCATTTTCAAGTGATTATGAGGCACGGGCCCAGGAAAATGACACACTTTTCCCCGTGGAGGTGTCAGCACCCAGCGTGTCCCAGAGTGAACGAGGACCCTCTTGCTGGTCCCTTTGGCCTCCCCCATTCCAGCTTGGGCTTTATAAGTAGTAGGATCATTGATATGAGGGCATTCTGGTAGAAAACCGAGCTTTGGCTCTGTTCTCTGTTTGCACATAGGTACACTACACACTGTTGAACACCAAGGACAACTTGATGAATCACAGAGATTATTAGCTAAATTATAGTGGTTTCTGGTCAAGTCCAATGATATTTTAGAAGCAAACGAGCATGCAAGTATCTAGGTGCATATTATGTACTTCAGGGGCAGTGTGGCAATCAGAATAAAATATCTTTAACAATATTTTTCCACGCTCTCCTTTGTGCTGCATCTATTAGAATTAAGTTTTCCGTGATCGTGTTCAGCTGTTGGAAATGTAGGCCAAATTATAAATAAGAATTCATTCCATTGTCTCCATACAACCTACTTTGGCAGTAGAATTTTGAAGCATATTATGTAATACGTTTTATTTTTTACTTGTTAGTCATAATCTAGATGATATCTCAAGGAGCCCCATGGTAATGTCGCCTGGGAAATAAGGGTGTTTGAGTGCCAGTCACCCTGTGGGTTCATCCTGGAGGCTTCAGGTTGACTGACTTGGCTAACAGGTTTCTTTCCTCCCTGCCATTCTTCCAGCTCAGGTGAAGAGGATGACCTTCCCAGAGAGAGAGAGAGAGAGAGAGAGGAAGTGAGATCTTTGGTCCTGTCAGGACTGGCCTGTAAAAATAAACGAGATCTTTTCCATTGGCCATTCACTTTCCCGAAATAGCCCAGGGAGAAAGGATGGGGCTGCCCAGCTGGACGGAGCGGCCTCCCATGTTTCCATTCATAAACGCTGCCTGTGAGTGCTCACGGACCAGACGCTGCTAAGCCTAATCCATCGTGCTCCTTTCGGGGAATCATTTTTTAAGAATGCAAAATTTGGGGATGGAGGTGATTTTTATCATGTCTCTTTTTTCTGATTTGGTGCTGAATCTGAGAGCCAGCAGCAATAATAACTAGGAATTTTTATCTTCAAATCACCTCATTTTGTTGCTAATCTACACAGGGCTATAGTAGGATACAGGTACGGTAGGAGTCCTCTCCATTTCCAGCTTTTGCCGTTGGTTTCAAGGTGACAGAATTCAGTTTTCAGGCTGGTGTGAAAACACAGGGGCTGGTCTTGTTCTCACAGTGGCATTTATTGGTGCGCACAGCTGTGCTGCCTGACCACGCACACACACTAATTGGAGCTAGACATGTAGATTTCTTTAATTGACTATAATTTTTACGTAGAGCAAAGGACGAACTGGATGTCTTTGAAATCAGGTTTGTAAAATCTCAAACAAAACATTACTAGTCACTTAACGGTTTTATCGTCCTGTGTTTCACCTGTTGAAGTTTCCTACCACTGACTGCACTCTGTCAGTGTCCTCTGAGTTGACATTCGTTGATGCAGTCATTCATATATTCCCTTTGGTGATCTTTGAGCACCGATTGTATGTAAGATATTGGGCACGCACTCATACAGATTAGTACAGACTTTTGTCTTGTGCTGGAACAGAGGGAGAAGCATCAGAAAGGCTTTTTGGCCACGGACCAGACTCTGACCTTCTGACCTTGCCATCCAGACTATCCTAAACCACTGAGTTTGGATATTTTCTGTTTTCTATTATCACAAGAGTAACGAATGCATAGAATCTGATTTCAATTAACATACTAATTTAGCCTGAATCAATTCCTTTTTCTTTCTCTTATGTTTTCTGTCTGCCCCTCGGCCTGTGGTTAAAAATAACTTGAAAATTTAGTGTACAATATGTATGAAAGGATAGTGGGCGTATGTGCAGAATTGAAGAACCTTTATCACGATTAATAAAAACACTAACAATAATTATTGAAAGATTAATATTATTCATACTATTATGAAATGTGATTCATCCAAAGTGCCTAAATTGTGAAGTTATTAAGTGTCTGAACATCATAGATGAAATGACATTTTCAAGTTTAATATATAAATATGAGTTTTAAATGCTTAATTCACTAACATTAATGTTCTTGAGCCTTTTTCCTCTTTTAAGATCTTTGTGTTATAACTTACAGAACATTCTTTAGAAAAAATAGATCTGGAAAAATCATTAAAAGGTAGGAAGAAGGCATGGAAAAGAGAGAAAAAGAAGAATTAGACTCAAGCAGGCAGGATGGGCTTCCAGTTCAACTACGGACAGTTTTGCCTGAATTTAAATTGTGTCCCCAGAAAAGCATGTGAGGATCTAGGGTTTAAGCATCCAAATAGGTAGGAGAGATTCTGTTTGGCATCCTAGAGTGTTTTGTTTTGTTTTACCTGAACACTAGGGTCCTGATGCATTTTGAGTAGTGGATTTACTGGGCTTAATGTCATTCATTTGTTGCCATAAAATTAGGACCTGAGTCAAAAAAAAAAAAAAAAAAAAGCATGAGGGAATAGCACCAGCCAAGTGTAAATCACCTTTAGAATAATTTTCTTGAGGGATTGCCAATATTCTCTAACATATGTTGCCTGGCAGAAAGTGAACAAGCCTAGACAAAGTGAAAAAGGAAGCATTCAGTGGCTGAGGCTGACAACAACTGTCCTCCCTTGTGAGAGGACACATGCGTTTCTATTGAAGATTTTACTTTTTCACCTTTATAAAGGTATTTCTTAACTGTGAAAATGGATGCCAGTTCTTCTCAGTCACTGTTCCAAAAAGCTAATACAAATTTCTGTTGTTCATAAGAAGACCCATGTGTTGCATTTCTGGTTTGCAGATTGCTAACCAGTTTTGTTTTAAAGCAGCTTCTTAAGAATCTGTGAGCAAGTTGCAGAATTAGAGTGTTTATTTATAGGTCAGAGGCCAGTACTGCTCTGTTAGCTGTTAATTGTGGCAGGACGTGACTTTCGAAGCTCTGAACACACACCTATATGCAACAATATGCCCACTTGTGTGCTATTTGTGTTAAATCAATGGAGAAACAGCATTTTCTTCGAGCTTTTGAAAATGTCCCCTAATATTGTATTTCTAAATGTAACACATAAGCTATGATGCTTTTTGTTCTCCAACCATCTCTGGAAACTATTCCAAACATGGCATTTCTCAAGGAAACTGTCTTGAATGTACAAAATTATTCTTGAATGTGTAGAAGTGCAGGCTACCTTTCTCCTGCCTCACAGCTCTCGGACACCCCCGTTCCCCCTCACCCTCCACCCCATACGCAATAGGCACTCAAGGCAGAGTGGGAGGATCTGCAGTTGCTTATTTAGCTGTGTTGTGAGGGTGGCTCTGTTACCCACCGTTCACCACAACCTGGAGGCAGGAACCATGTAAATAAACCCTTGCTTCATAGACCAAGCTTAGGAACACATGCATTTCTTTAAGTTCCGTTTTTAGTTAGAAAGCACTACCTGATTTTAATATGCTGGATGCAAACAAAAAAAAAAAAAGGAAATCCATGGGAAACTTTTTTAAGGAGATGCTGTTTTCATTTTATATTTTCAGTGGTTATAATGGCAATTCGAAAAAAAAAAAAAAAAAAAAAAAAAAAAC